TTTCATGGGTTTGTTTTAGTCAACCTAAGAAGGATGTAAGATTGGGGGTCTCACATTTTTTTTGCAACCCAAAATGTGATATTGGCCCTATTAATAAATGAGGAACCTGACCCCGGGGGGGGGGGAGGGGACCTCCCATACATTACCTATACGGGTATGTGCTGCCCAACGGCGTCGTGATTTTAAAGGGCTTGATTTAGAACAGGGTATCCATTTCATTTTAAATTGTGGATCACGGCTTTATTTTCTGCCTGAAATTGTTGCTGATTATGAAGAAGCATTTATTTGATGTGTAAGTCGAACAAATAAAGAAATATCTTTTTAAAAAAAACAGGGCTATTACAATTTACAAACTTTCTAGAAAGGAGTATAAAAAATTGGCCCATTTCTCGAACGGGGTATCAGTTTTAGGGCGAGTTCTAGAACAGGGTATAAAAAATTGGCCCATTTTTAGAACGGGGTATCAATTTTAGTGGAAATTCTTTTTTAGAACAGGGTGTTAATTTGGAGTCCCGGGTAGCACATACCCACCCAAAAAATACCCAAGTGCCCCCCCCGGGGAACCTGACAAGAGACTAATTTAGAAGCACGCCTTTCTTTTTAGGTATTATCAGATTCGTTGTACACTGAAACCTCCACTAAAGGCTGCTGCCACTACAGAAGTTGAACAAAGACAACAGTTTGGTTTAGGTAAATTTATTGTGCTGTATTTGCCTAGGTGACCTGATCTGGGGGGGCGGGGGGGTGGTTACCATATAAATGTGGCAAGGACACTTAGGGATAAGTGTGACACTTTAAATCCCAAGAGCAGCGAACATCAGTTTCTCCGAACAATATCAAATACATAAACATGCGAAAAAGTCACCGACAAGAATCAGTGGTTTTGTTACAAATAGTTATGGTGAGTCCTGGAACTCATTTTGAGAAATATCTTGAGTTGCTCTCCAGAACCAATGAACCAATGAACCATTTTACAAAACATCTTCAGATCAATCAATCAATGTTTGCGTCCTATGGGAGGCATACCACAAATTATTTTGCGTCTGTGGGAATTTTTATGAGTCAGGGACGCAGGACACAGAGGTAACAAAATCACTGGAGAATTAACAAAATGATTATTCAAGGGTAAATGCTATGATCTTTACACAAATCAAATTCTTTTACTAATTCTTTACGGAATTGTACATGTAAATGTATGGACATCAGTCGGGAGAATTTGTTTTTGGATATTGGGGCTGAAAAGCTTAAAATAGTTTGAGTGCAGTAGGTTTTTTGAATGGAAAACTGCCTTTTTGTAATTATTTTGTTTGAATAGAAAATTAACCATACAAATGTATAGTGACACTGGTGTTTGAGCTCTGTGTAAATGTTCATGAGCAGGTGTTACAAGAGAAAAATTTATAAAGAACTCTCCAGAAAACCTAAAATCAGAATGCATTTGAGTATAATGACAATGAGGGAGAACTCAAAACCCAGCAAAAAATATATAACTAAAAATTATCTCTTAGGCTTTAGTGAACAATCAAGAAAAGTAAATTCCCAATTCCCACTTACCAGTAATCCAGTTTTCAATAGACCTTTATAGTTGACAAGACACCTGGAACAGGGGCTAAAATAGTAATGGTGCTGCTTCAATTGAAAGGCTAGGAAGTTCTTTTAATGAAATATTTTCCATTTGTTTCCTATCAAAGAAGCATGGGGTTATACTTGTATTAGCCAGGGGAAATTCCCAGCAGCGACCCTTAATGATTCAGATCAATAAGGTTTCTGGGAAACTGCCCACCTACCCCTCCCCTAAGCCAACATTATCACTTAGTTCTCACTTAGGGCAAAATGTTGGCTTAGGGGAGGGGTAGGTGTGCAGTTTTCCAGAAACTTAAATTGAGCCAATGATTCATGTCCCTGTGCACATTGCTTTTTTGGACAGAGCCACATGGAGGGAACTATTGAACTCTTTCCAGGGATATGTTACAGGTTAAAATTAAATTCAGGTTATAATTTTTTAACCTAGGTTGATTCTCAATTTCCTTTGTCCCCTAGCCC